AAAGAGATAGCCTGTGACAACGGGCCGCAATTTATAGGCGCAAAGGTCTCAAAGTTCCTTGAAGACTTGAAAATCAAGAGGATCACATTATCACCCTATCATCCGAGCACAAACGGCAAAGCAGAATCAATGAACAAAGTGATTATACAAAATCTCAAAAAGAGGTTGGAAGTAGCTAAAGGTAAACGACCCGAAGAGCTGCCAGGTGTACTATGGGCGTACCGAAAAACGGCCAAATCGGGCACGAGGGAGACGCCTTTCTCTCTTGTGTACGGGGTAGAAGTCCCGATCCCGGTGGAAGTAGGAGAACCTACCCTGAGGTATTTCCTGGCAAACAAAGAAGCAAACAATGAAGCAATGTTAGTCAATTTGGAGCCGCTCGATAAACACAGGGACTTGGCGGGTATAAGGATGGGAGCCCAAAAGCAGAGAATAGAGAGATATTACAATCGAAGAGCCAATCTCCGTTATTTCAAAGTAGGAGACTTGGTTTTAAGAAAAGTAACTCAAAACACCGGGAGCTCAATGCGGGGACACTAGGTCCAACATGGGAAGGTCCCAACCGGGTTTCAGTTGTCACCAGGAAAGGGTCATACGAGTTAGAAATCAAGAAGGAGAAAAGTTTCCAAGCAACTGGAACATGGCACACCTCAAGAGATACTATTGCTGATAAACATTGCCTGTACTGAAAGTATGTACTGCACTCTTTTTCCCTTCGTCCAATTTTTGTCCCAATTGGGTTTTTCTGTAAAGGTTTTTAACGAGGAAGCAACGGAACGTGTATAACGAAGGAAGCTTCATCTTCAAAAATAAGACCTTAAAATGACAAGGAACGCAAACGACGGGTCACTATGGAACGGTTAGATAATATTTGGCTCGATAGTAAAAATTCCTACTGGGAAGTAAAATTTTCTATCGGACAAGGGTTACCCGACCGTTCATGAGTACAAGCTACTGGGGGGTTGTTAGACAGTCTTTGGCTCGATAACAAAGTTCCTAATGGGAAGTGAGGCTTTTTACCGAACTAAATATTATCTAGCCATCCACTAGTGAGATCTCCAAGATCAAGTCTTCTAGTGTTCAAATTCGCATTCTTCGCATTCAAACACTGGAGAGGGGGAGGGGGATGGTATGAGGATACTGAAACAATGCCTGCCACATCGACCGTAATACGAAACCCGGAAGCATAGTTGTATCATCGGGACCTGGGACTGCGCGGCCAGCCCCGTAGAAACAAGTTGTACAAACTAGCCACAAGTAATAGAAACTTCTTTTTATCACGACGAATGCTTATGTACTTTTGAAAATGTAAGGAATAAAGTAAAATCCTTTTATTTCTATCTTGTTTCTTTCTGAACGATGAATTAATTTTATCATTTGAAAGTTAAACAATTACTTCAAATGCTAGTGGCATAATAAACAGGAGACGTCCTCTTCAAGAGCACCCTGAACATAAGAGGGCCCTCTCTTATAAAACCCTCACGTTAAAGGGTTGATTTCAAAAAAATTATTACCCGAAATTCAAATACTAAATAGAACTTCCACGTTAAAGGGTTGATTTCAGAAGAACTTATGCTCGAAATCTAAAGACTGCCGGGGAAAAATATACCCGAAGCCTCGCATATCTCGTCACCGAAAGCTTGCGCAAACACTTAAACAAAAAAAGAGGCAAAAGAGCAAAACTTGCTCAAACACTTAAACAAAACACAGACGCAAAAGAGCAAAACTTGCTCGTATACTTAAACAAAAAGAGCGCAAAGATAAAATCTTGCACGACACTTGAACAAAAAGATACTTCTATTCACAATAAAATGTGCCAAACAACACACGTACAAAAGTGTAAAAAAGAAAGCAAAAATTTATGCTGTTGCGTCTCCGGGACCCGGAGGAAGAGAAGTATTTGCGCCCTCAGGAGAGGTGGGTAGATCCGCCGCCGGTTCGATATATTGGACTTCATCATTTTGGTCTTCATCATCGCCGCCTTCTCTTTCTTCTTCAATTCTCGAGAACTCAGAACCGAAACTAGAAGAATCAGTAGCATCAGGATGGACTGGAAGACCCCTTTCTGCGGTTAAATCCAGCTCATGAGCCTAAGCGATTTCTGCATCAAAGTCAATGACACCCGCTTTGGCCTCTTCCAAGGTTTTTCTCCTCATACTATACTTAGCATATATGTTTTCAACAATGAGGGAAGTCGCTCGGCGATGGAGTTCTTCTTTAAGTTGGTCGACCTCGGCAGAAAGGTTATCTCGCACGGATCTTGTGGTGAAGTAGCTGCGGCAAATGCAGTGCTGGTTGTTGGTTGCTAATCAACCGAAGACGGCACGGAACCGGTATTCAGCCTCACGGTACCGAGCACGGCAATTGGGATTGGGAAACGAGAGTTGGATTTTTTTCTACCATATAAATCTCCCCGAGAGGGTCGAGCCATCGTCCTCAGTTGGTGTAACTGACTCAACAGATTGAGCATTTTGTTAAGCCGAGGAAGATCATCGTCTTCTATGTAGAGAAGCCCCTCCTCGTTGACTTCTCCATCATCGTTGATCACCATGGTGTTTATGGCCGGCTCGGCACGTCGCTCATTGCATAACTTCTAGAGACGACTCGGGTGCGGCCTTCTTTGCCTTTTTATTTTTTCCCCCGGCTGCAGAGGAACGACTTCTTTTTGGTTGCTATTTTCCGGCTGGGGAATCCGAGAAGAAGTACTTGCACCAGAAGCAGGCCTGGAGACACCTATTCGGGTAAAAGCATCCTACAGCAGCCTCGCCGCATCAGCACGATTAGCCAAAATGTCCTTCTCGGGGACGACAACTGAGCCCTGGGGTAGACCTGAATTCAACAAGAGGAAAAAGGGTTAATTAGTTTTTCTTATACAAAATGGAAAACAAAGATAAGTCTAACCTACCATGATTTTTGGCCTTCCACCCATATTCAAGGGCTAGTTATTTCCACGTACGGGTCTCGGGCATAGTAACGTCCAAAATCTTTTGGACCCAGTGGTCCAAGCCTTCGACCCTCGGTGGAACCCACCGAGTCGCTGAAATTGGTGAAAGAAGAAGAATCAATAATAACATAGGATGATCTTTATCTAGAAGAAGAAACAAGCGATGAACTTACACGTACGGTTGCATAATTTCGGAAAGGATGATGTCGTGGCCGGAATGATATCCCTGGTGGCAACTGAAACGAACCGTTCTATCAATCCACGGACATCATCATCATCTATACTGGCTAGTAGGGCATAGATCTTGGGGGAATAAAGGTTCATTAATCGAGCTAGGGTTAGCTCCTCTCCCGTCTCCTAGTACAGACGCCGAAGACAAGCGACTGTCCTCCACACAAAAAGACTTACTTGTGCCAGGCATACCTGGTAGTGAAGGGATACATATCCTTCTTGGGTAAGGTTATCTGCTCCGCTAGATCAGGAGCGATAATATCTAAATCATGGAAATGGTAGTCTTCCTTCATAGCAGGAATGCTGGAAGGACGAATGGAAGAAGGGTACACGCTAACGGCCCACGTACGAGGGTTAACAGAAGGATACTTCTCTTCGAAGTCTTTTGTGTGATAAGACCTCTTGGGATGATGATGCTCACCATAGAAAGGAGCAGCATCATCAACTTTACCTTTGTTTTTTAGGAGCTAGGGTTTCTAGAAGAAGAAACCATTTGTATCAAAAAGGAAGAAAGGGTTTCTCAGAAGAAAAAGGTTAAAGAAAAGTTGAAGGCAAAGTGTGAGTTGAGTAAAGACAGTTTGAGAAAATTTGGAGGAATTATGATGTGTGAATGAAGAAGTTTGATGCGTATAAGCAAAGTAATAAGCGGCTAAAATCGTGGCCATAATTACCTCGATAACCGGCAAAAGTGATGCTAAATTTGGGGGGGGGGGGTGACGCGTGTGCTGGCATTAAATGCGGAGAGACGTGCGTCTAATCAACAGTCAGAAACTTTTCATAGAGGGTCAGAGAATTTCCTGCCAAAAAAGGTATATCTACCAACTTTCCGGTGACACAAAGTTACGCCACCAGAAAACAGGAGGACTATCTGCATAGGATAAAATATGTTCATATTTAATAATCGTATGAGAAAGCGACACGTGGAGCCAAAAACAGAAGACAGTCGGGCCCGGAGGCAATGATCTCGCTTTCCATCTGAGAGAATGATATTCATAAAGACAGAAATGCCTACCACCCGGTAGCATTCAATGAAGAATATTATATAACATTAAGTGCAAGGCCCGTTACAGAGAATATGACATTCACATTCCACCATTACACAATCTTCAATGACCCTCATAATTGTCATTTAAGAGGGGCTTGATCCTAGGACCTTGTTCCCTAGGTGTAACTATAAATAGTAAGCTCTACCATTATTGTAACGACACCTATATTCTATCAAAAGCTCAATAACATTTTACTTTCTTGCTTATTTATATTGTTCTTACTGTCTCCGGCAGCTCTGCGCCCGGGACTAAGATATCTGCTGTTTTATTTTAATTGCAAGGCTAAGTCTTATATTTCTGTCTAATTCATCTATTATTTTTTGGATCAAATCGATTCACTTGTCTATAAACCACGTATAAATTCAATTGTATTATTTTACGGGTAAACAACCATCACTACAAGAAACTTGGGCTATGGCGACATCATATAAATGTCGCCATAAGTCAATTAAATGTCATAAATTCATTTAATGACATTTATTTTACACTTAAGTCAGATGTTGGAAATTTCAATGTCGTTAATTTTACGGCATTTAAATTAGTGTCGGCAAAAAATCTAGTGACATTTATTTGACGTTTATCAAATGTCTATAAATCGAGCTCTTAACCTATCTTGTTTGCGACATACATAGAAATGTCGATAAATTATTTGCAATTTTTGACATATTATTTTAATATCAAAATTATTATTTATATTTATGATTAAGAAGAAAAATATTTCCTTTTTGTATATTATAGAGTATGGAGTGGAAAGCAGAAAATGATGAATCAACTATTGCTAATCTTCACAATACTACAAACGTTTTTATTCATTTCAAAAGTTTCAAGGGTCATACGCCACATACAATTCAAATAAAACAATGAATTACTTCAACATACGACTACATAACCATAACTTTTCTCTAATAATTTCCAAATACACCAACATAATTCAAAGCTTCAACATACATGTATTTTTTGATGAAGTGTTCCATGGTTTCGCCGAATCAGGGTTCCTTCTCATTAATAGATCTCACAACCTTCCAAATCTGGTGTATCCAAGATCTGAAATTTTTAAAAAAGTTAATGATTAAGGGAAAAGGTCATAACAATATTTTTAGCTCATATGAAGTAATAGTAATGTCACTAGACTCTTTTGCAAAAATATTCACCTTCCAAGATAAAAATAAAATAAACAACAAGAAAGACAAAAAAAAAAAACAAGAATTTCAGTAACCAAAATATCACAAATCTCATTGCACTCGAAAAGAAAAGGCCAAACGTACAGAACACGAGTAAGAGTAGAAGAATCTGATTGCGAATCGAGATTCTGAAAGCAATAGTTGCTGAAGCTTAGTCCTTCTAGGTCTGAAACGAATCAAAGGTTCAATCAAAAGAAATCTCTAGACTATAGATGGCAAATCTATGGCTATCAACAAGCAGTCAAAAGCAACCAAGAAACAAAGTACAAAAGATTGAGATTTATATTACTTATATTGAAGGGAAATCTTACAGGTGGATTCACATTGGAATAAACGAAAGGCGTGAAAATGAACTAATGAAGTTTCATAGTTCTTGATTGTTGCGGCTTAAAGAGTTGTGGAGGAATAGGGTTTTTTGTAAATAGAAGAGAAGCTTAAGGCCCATTAAAATATTTAAAGTTATTTTTTCTTGTTGGGGAAAAAATATTTTTGACAGTTATTATAAATGTTAGTAATTAAATGTTGTTATTTTTCTAATAATATGACATTTATATCAAATGTAAAAATATTTTTTGACATTTTCCAACAAATGTCGGTATTCTTATCACATTTTCTAACAAATGTCGCTAAATTAACTTCTTCCCAACATTTATAATAAGTGTCACTAATTAAATGTCGCCGTATCACATATTTGTTGTAGTGCATATGAGACTATCAAGGGGAAAATGCTCCCTACAAGAAATTCTCCATTTACAAGGCTCGAACCCGAGACCTCTAAGTAATAGCGGAGAGATCTCGTTCGTCCTACTATATCCCTTAGCAGAGGCAGAGCTAAGATTTTAACATTATGAGTTCTGAATTTTGCAACGATGACTTCAAGTGCTAATGATTGAACTCTAAATTTAATATTTAATTTGTACATATATAATAAATTTTTAAATACAAATATACTGTTTGAACAAAAGGTATTGGATTTTGCCGAACCCGTAGCTCGTCTTCTGCCTTCCCGTGTCCCCTGGTGGTAACTTTGTACTGCATATATTCAAAACTCATTTGAATTGTCACAGAACAGAAATTGTACTATCCTCATCTTGTTATGGTGCACGTACGTGTGAAGAGAAAGATTTGCAATAATTCTGGTACTTCCGCGAGACACCTATTCTTGTGATTTGACACTTTGAGCTTTGAATACCTTTATTTTATTTTATTGTTGTCAACTTTAAGCTATGCAATTTTTCGCTCTTTAAAATAAAATTTCCAACAAAAAAAAAAAGTTGAGGTCTCTAGCTTGATGTCAGCATCATGCAGAAGAAGAAAAAAGAAATCGAGAAAGCTAGAATTATGAAGAGTACGTCCATTTGAACAAATTAGATATGACACATGCTTCATAGAAGTGGCATTTCTGGAGGGGAGAAGGAAAATGAAATGAAAAAGACACCATCATTAGTTAAATTCATTTTTATCTGTATTTAAATTACATAGGCAGATAATGTAATATAATAGTTAAATGACATCGAAATTATGGTATTCACTATTTATGGATGTAGCGAACCAACGAACTGAAATCCAACATAGTATTATCAGTTAATGACTGGACAAAGAAAATGATACATCAAAAATAGAAAATGAGTTCCACTTGAGCTTCATCTCAACTTTAACATTTGTTATATAGATCCATTCGCCAAAAAAGCTTTGTCCAACTTAATCAATTTGATAACACCACCTAAAAAAGGAAATTACGGAAAATGAAAGATGATCAGTTTTTTGTAAATAAAAACGAGAGAGACGGAAGAAGACATCTCTCTATATATCCCTCTTGTAGCTGTCTGTCACTATATATTTTGGTCCAACTCTCAAAAACTATATTCACTCGACTCTTTTTCTAAATTTAAGACTCCTACATCATGCATGGCTCACGTAGGTAATAATTCTTAGATTCCTATCGGCCTATTTTTAATTAATTATCAAGAAAATCTTTTTAACTTTCTAAAATTTCAAATATTGAAACTCTATTTGTGATTTTTTTCCTTAATACCCCCATCCGTTTCAAAAAATTGTTCTTAGTTTGAGGCAAAAATTTTAATAAAGAAGGAAAGTTATAGCATTTGTGTGACCGTAAAACTTTTTAAACTTGTGGTTTTAAATCTGACATAAGTGAATTTATCCAGTTGAGTCATTCTTGATTGATTGAGACAAAACGATTCTCTCAATACAGCTTAACTACGTCAAGCCTGTATCGAGTAGTGAAGAAGTATAGAGCACTTTGGTTGGTTGTTGTGTAGCTATAAATATTTCATATTACAAAAATATTGAAAGATGTCAATCTTTTTGAAATAGACTAATAAGGAATTAGTGCCAATATTTTTGAAATAAGGAGTATAATTAACAAATCAAATGATCCCTTTTCCATTCTTTTGGCAATCAAAGAGTTCTCTTTGCATTAAGCATATAATACAAACTCATTGGTTCAAAAGTTTACATCATTATGCTCTTCGAAAAAGGAAAAGCTGAAAAAGTGAAGTGCATTAAGAATTCTTTTTTCATTAGATGGTAATAATTGAATGCTTACCAAAAATAAAATGAACAAAAAGTTTGCAAAGAAGATCCATCTATTGGTACGTTAACTTTGACCAAAAAAAGTTGTTGATGATTTTATTTTGAACCTTTCGGTACACGCGAGAAAATACCAAGAAGAAAAAGAGAGCTCAAGGAACGGACACTAAAATTTTTCGTGTAGATTTATAATAATATACTAGCAAGGGCGATGCTACATAGCCCTATGGGTGGTCGACTGACCACCTTTCGTCGAAAAATTACACTGCATATATATGTAAGATATTAGATTTTAGTTGTATATAACATATATTGAACACCCTTTATCAAGAATTTTTTTTACTTCATTCAAGTTTAACCACCTAAGATGAAATTCCTGGCTTCGCCACTGTATACTAGTATTCAGAATTTATGTTCAATAAATAGTGGAAGATAATAATAACAATAAATGATAATACAACTTTATTACTCCTTCCATTTCATATTATGTGTCGTGTTTCTCTTTTACTCGCCCCTTAAGTAATATTAATTAGGAAAGGGATTAGACTATTCTACCCTTATTTATGTCTTAAGATATAATCTTTCTTCATTAAATATTTATTCTATTTATGTGTTATCTCTATCCTCAAGAACAATTATTACTAAGGGTAAAATAGGTAAAAAACAATAAATTTTTTCTTGAACTTCTAAAATGACAAATAATTTGAGACAACTATTGTTAGTTACCATGACTATTAATAAGAGACGGAGGGAGTAGTATGGATGTTTATTTAGAATTTCGTCTTCTTACGACTTAAGAAGACCTTTTTCTTTAATAAGGAAATTAAAAGAACGTGCCCTTACAGTTTATTTATTGAGTTTTTGTTTAGTTATTGAGTTTAACTAACAGTTTCTTGAAAAAGGGAGAGAATTATTGGGCTCTTTCTGAGTCAAGAATGATTGGTTTATATATAGTTGCAATTAAAGAGTGTTTTATATCGATTTTATTAGTCTTGATTAATGTGACGTTGTAAAGCCATCAATAATTTAGAATAAACATCTATAAACTGCATTTTTAAAGATGATTTTCCTACTTTGTCGACCAAGGAAAAAGGGACAAAAAGAAATGGAAACTTGCAATTGTGTACTACTCCACAAAGTTAGGTTAGAAATAATTGTCTAATACAATTTATAGTAGTAGTAGTAGTAGGAGAAGTAGGAGGTTCGTAGAGTATGTTATCTTGGCTTGAACCATAATTCGATTGTCTACTAAAAATTAAAAAAAGGTATATAAAATGTAAATATTGTATCTGGATCTCCCACCATGTTGACCAAGATAGGAACAAAAACATTTTTAGGGAAGAGAAAAGAAAAAGTAAAAGAACTTCCGTAAATATGAAAAAGCTGGAATTTTATATAAGGGGGCTTAATTCCGGAATAATGTGAAAATGTTACTATAATTGCATATTTTTGAAATCGTCCTAAATATTTAAGAAAAATACAACATAAATAATATCCTGAGCAGTATACATTACATAAAATTACAATTGTCACAGGCATGTATAAGTCGTATCCATTTATTACAAAGCATTGAGCGCCATTATGGCTAGTCATCTGTCGTCCTAAAGTATTTTTCTTGAACTTTCGGAAAGAAAGGTAGTCTTGTGTGTAAATATAGCATTTTTGGTATAATCCACTCAACTCAACTAAAAAGAACAGTGATATGGATGTTTATTATATAAAAGTATTTTGGCTTTTCAGAATATTAAAAGGCGCTTTCTATACATGGAAAAGAAAGACTCAATCTTTACAGTTTTTAAAATACTTGATCAAATTAAAGCTATTATTTAATTACGTATAAATTTAATTTCTTGAGAAGGAAAGGAAAGGATGGTATATTGATTTATCGTTGCATTTGAAATGTGTCTTATATGTGTTTGACAAAAAAGTATGAAACCTTTTGTTAAACCAATATTATATAAGAAGATAACGGGTAAATCCTAGTTAAAGATAATAATTTCTAGATCTGAAATGTGTTTATGCGGATAATGCGGGGGTGCATTAAAACAGATTTAATGCAATGTACATTAAATGATACGATCATAAATGAGAGGAGAATAATGATAAGCAATAAATATGTTAAATGACACTAAATGTAAATAGAGAGAATGATTCACCCAATATTGAATGAAGTGGTAAGACAAATGAATACGGGAATATAGGAAGCTTTCTCGGATCTGATGCGAGAAATGTGGAATAAACAACAACTTGAATCTCCTTGGAAAGGTAATGTTTGTATTTTGCTCGAGAGTCAACTTTTCAAGAGAGTTCTTATCATATAGAATAATACATGTCCCTTTTCTTCTCTCTACCTTTCTATTTATATGAGACATGCCTCCAACCTAACCTAAAGTACAGATACATAGAATAATCAATGGAATATTCTCCTAAATATCTTATTACAAAACTAGCCGTTATTTGCTGGCTTGAACGTTCGACCTCGACCCCAATTAACAGTTCGCCAATAAATTCCTTTAATCTTGTGTACGACCTCGGCCTAATCTCCTCTTAGTAATTTATCCTTGTGCTAGGTTCCCTTAATCAGATTTTGACCCAAACACTACTCCCTCTGCCTGTCGAGGTTGTGTTTGGACAAGCTCGGTGGGCAGACTTCGCTAGTTGCAATTTGAGAAATTTGGGGCGTGTGGGTCAAGTAGTAAAGTTTTTACGGCGAGGTATGATGTGGTGCTTCGAGAGCCACATTTGACCGTTACTTCAGTTTGAAATGACATCATAACATCATGCGTCATTATGGTGCATGTTCCCGATACATTACGTCGCTTCCCGCGCTCTTTTCGTTTC